TTTCTTTTTTCCAATATTGTCTTTTGTGAATTCAGTCAGAAGTTTATCCCTATCTTCTTTTAGTTCTTTGATTTGTGTGTTCTTTAGTTTCTTTGAATTCTTTCATCATTTTTATGACTGTTCTTTTAAATTCTGTGTCCTGGATTATCTCTAGGGGTTCTCATTGAAGAACTTTTCCATAGGACTGTTGGCGTTTGGCAGGGACACATTATTTGGGTTTTTCATATTATTATTTTTCATTGTGATTTTGGCATGTGGATTTCTTTGTTATTTGTGATTCTAGTGTGAGACTCAAGCCTTCCTTTGTTGAGTTGAGTTCTGTTTTTGTTTTTGTATACTTGATGTGCCTTGGTTGTGTTCTTATTGGATATGAAAAGCTGGTTGGTCTAGGCTTCAGGTTCTTTCTTTTGATTTTATATTGGAGGGGCCAGATGGCTCTAGTTCAGCTACTCAGGAGTTCACGCAGAGGCCCAAGTCAGATGAGGATCAGATGCTCTCAGGCTTCCTCCTAAGGCCTGGGCCCCCACTAAAAGGCAAAGAGGCCTAGCCCTGCAGCAGTGGGAGGGGCTGCAGATGGGCCCAGTGTAGGGGGTGGGCACAGCGCAATTTGGAGATCTCACTGCCACACAGCACTAAGAGGGTTGTCCAGAGATCTGGGGTGCAAAGAGCAAAAGTGAGCCTGTGCCCAAGGCTAGAAGGAGATCAGGATGTGTGGTCAGGGATATTGGAGGTGCTCAGGCTATGCAGGAGTCAAGGAGCAGAGGGCAGGATCCTTAGTTTTACTTTTTTTTTTTTTAAACAGGGTCTCCCTGTAGCCCCAGCTGCCAGCTGGCCTGGAGCTCTCTGGCCTTGAACTCACAGAGATCTACCTGCTTTTGCCTCAGAGTGCTGGGATTAAAAGGGGTGTGGCCAGCACACCCAGCAATCATCACTTATTTTTATGATGACTTTGATTAGCGGCTTGCTCATAAAATTCCTAAAAATTATGATTCAGGTTCAACACACCACTGTTATTTTCTTTTATGGATTATTGACAGTCCTGAATGCTTGGAGTAATGTCTTTCACCAACTCCAGAAATGTCTCAGCCATTATCTGTTCAAATACTGCCTTTTTGAGCTCTGCTCCAATTCCAAAGGACTGTCAAGCTTGCCTTATCGTTTTTATACTCTCTTCTTTCTTGCTTAGACTTTTGATAATTCAGGTTTATTGAAGCATACTAGAAACTTGTTTTATAACTTATTTCATAATTTCCTTATCTGCAGTCTTTGCAGATAATACTTTCAGTTTTTATTTTACTCAAAGCAGCCCATTTCCTCCTGTTTCATGATTTTCAGTAGTGAATTAATATCAACTCATAATTTTTTGAGATAGAGCTTTAATACAGCCTATACTGTCTTTGGCCTCCCTCAACCTTCCCAGGATAGAATTACAGGTATTCCAGCATGTCTGGAAACCCATAACTTTTTAAGAATAAAAATATTTTGCCTATCCGTTTTGAAATGGGAATTTTGAGCTAGTAGTGTGTCTCTGAGCAACTCGTCTACCATACTGCTGGCCAAACATATTTAGGATATAAATTGAGGATTGCCTTTATGAAGGAAAGGAGAGAGACCACCTGAGAGATGGCTGCAATGGCCCTGGTACAGTAATAAGAATCTGGACAATGAAAATCACAGCAGAGGGAGGAGGAAGAAGCTGAAAGGCAGCGAGGACTCAGAGGAGGTGGCTGGAGACAGCACACAGAATGTAGGCGAAAGGACAAATCAAAGCTAACTGTGAGGCTCTTACTTCGGTGTTTCAAAATGTCACAGATGGGAGCTGGAGAGATGGCTCAGCAGTTAAGAACACTGACTGTCCTTGCAGAAGACCCAGGTTCAAATCCCAGCACCCACGTGGCAGCTAACGACTGTCCATAACTCCGGTTCCAGGGGATCCAACAGCCTCTTCTGTCCTCTGCAGGCATTGCATGACACTGGTGCACTTACAAACATGCAGGCAATACACTAATACACATAAAATAAAAATAACAAGTAAAATATTTTTTAAATTAAAAAAAAAGTCACAGATAACACTTAGAAAAATGTTAACCATCTTCCAAAATTAACCTGAATGAAGCTCATGTTTAATTTGTTTCAAAAGGTCTGTTAAACTGCTTTATGTACTTATAGGCATGGAAAGAAGAACAGGAGCGATTGGCTGAAGAGGAACGCTTAAAGGAAGAGAAGAAGGCAGAGAAGAAGGGGAAAGACTTGGGCAAAAAGAAAGGCAAGGAGAAAGATGAGAGTACGTCGTTGAAGAAAACGTCTTCTTCCAAGGAGAAAGCCAGGGAAGATCAAGTATATTTGCCAGAAGTAACAGAGGAGTGCCCGCTGCAGCCAGAGCCAGAGACAGCGTACCCGGTACAATCCAGCTTCTAATGCCTGGGGAAAACAAGGTTTCTTGGGTTATCCACGGGCTAAACTTGAATTCCAGCTTCTACCATCTAGAATCCACAATCTTCCTCCTAATTTGACACCAACATGGGAACACCCGCAGGCCAAGGTTTTCCCATCTAGATTACTAGGGGCGATAAAATTGGAAATGAGACGCCAAAACTCCACATCTCTAGTATTAATACATGCAAGGGAGCAGCTGTGCTAGGCCAACACAAAGGCTGGCTGCATCTGAGGACAGGATCCGCTGAGTAGACATAGGTGCTTCCACGTGGCCAGCCATGCTTCTGGCTTACGAGTTTGTGTAAAGCCCTCTCCTGGCCACCTCTCCTTGGGTGCATCTTTCTGAGAAAAACCCTGTGAAGAGAAAATGGAGAGACCTGTTCTGTTCCGTTCTTTGCAGCTATTGCTCTGATCTAGTTGCTCTGATGCATTAGTACTCCTCTGAATAAACTGCAGCCCTCATGTAGCAATGTTTGCTTCTGTTTACTGTCCTTGACACATGACCTCCTAAAGTGTCAAATGTTTATCACTATTTCTTTATCACTTCACATTAAAACGGGACTTAGCCAGTGGATGAGAACTTGATTTCCCCTCACACTGCTTTGCTGATAGAGCATGATTTTATTTGGACTAGGTTAGAAGGGTGCTCCAGAGAAGTTTAAAGTCATACACATTTTATAAAGATTCAGTTTTTTTTATTTTTAAGTATGTATATGTGTGTACACATGTCTATATGTGCACATGAGTTTTTGGTGCCACAAAGGCCTGAAGATGGTGTCAGATCCCCTGAAACTGGAGTTTCAGGCACTTATAAGTTGCCCACCTTCAGACCATGTGGGTTTGCTGGACGCCAAACTTGGGTCCTGTGCGAGAGCAACCACTGAGGCGTTTCTCCTTCCCCAGTCATAGACCAATAAAATAATATATTTTATATAATGTAATATAATTCTGACAATTATAATAATACCTTAGAGGTTTCTAAATAGACTGGGCACAGTCAGTGAACACACCCATAATCCCAGCATTCTGGAGACTGAGGCAGGATGATGATGAGTTTGAGGTCAGCCTACCCTACAGAGTCAGACTCTATCTCTAAGAATGAAGAAAGCAAATTAAAAATAACTGAGCCTACAAAGTAACAGACATAATTTTCTTACAAAAAAAGTTTATGGAGACTATAGCCTGCTAATACTAGTAAGTTGATTTTTTTCCAATTGCACTTCTACAACTAATCATGATGTGTTCTCTTCTAGTTTCGAGGATACAATATGGGTGATACACCCGTCCAAATCTCAGGGACAAATTGTTATCTGTATCCTTCTGATGGAGGGCAGATTGAAGTAGAAAAGACAACATTTGAAAAAGGTACATTTTGAAAGAGCTGGTTAGCAGCATGTAAGATATGAATACACAGCTCATCACTGGCCTTGTGCTTCTGAGTGTGGGGGGTGAAGACCCACTGTACTCACAACTGTACTACACTTTGCATTTTCAGAGTTCATGTTCTTCTACCACGATTGATCCAGCAAGGGCACAGACCATCCTAGAGTTTGCTTAGACACATTGTTAGGACCATTTCAAATGTTAGAAACATTTAAATTCTTCTATGTTATTGATGAGCAGTGTATTAGCAACTATAATAAGCAAATAGATAATTAATAATATTAATTTCAATGCATACTGTTATGTCAGAAACAAACATATACTTTGAGTTTATGGCATGGTCCTGCATGGAACTCTGGAACACAGCACTTGGGAACTTGCTGATGATATTTCAGCTCTTATTAAGACTTTTTTTTTGTCTTTTTGAGAAAGGCTGGCCTGGAACTCTCTGTGTAGACCAGGCTGGCCTTGATCTCACAGAGATCTGCCTACTTCTGTCTCTGCTGGGATTAAAGACATGTGCCACCATTCCCGGCTTCTAATTAAGATTTTTACATGTATAGCAGTGTGTGGTGCTACACACCCTTAATCCCAGCACTAGGGAGGCAGAGGCCAGGGGATTGCTGTGAGATCAAGACCAGCCTGGGATGGTTTTTATAGCAAGTTTCAGGCCAGCTGGGGCTACATAGTGAGGCCCTGGCTCAAAAAAAAACAAATAAATAAAACTTGTATATGTGACCAACTCATATAAATTTCAGATGGTTCATAGCAAATTCCCAATCCTATCACCTTTGAGAAACACTTCAATCAAAGTTGAAAATCATGGGACTGGTCGAGCATTGTGGCACACGCCTTTGATCCCAGCACTTGGGAGGTAGAGGCAGGTGGATCTCGGTGAGTTTGAGGCCAGCCTAGTCTCTATAGTGAGTTCCAAGCCTGTTGGGGTTATAGGGAAACTGTGTCTCAAAAAGACCAAAACAAAACAAAACAAACAAACAAACAAACAAAAAAAAATCACGGGACTGGAGAGGTGGCTCAGTGTTAAGAACACAGGCTTCTCTTGAAGAGGATCCAGGTTCAACTCCCAGCACCCACATGGCATCTAACAACTGTCAGTAACTCCAGGTCCAGGGGATCCAATGCCCTCTTCTGACCTCCCTGAGCACTGAACATCAGGGATGTGCTTACATGCAAGCAATACACTTCTGCATGTAAAATAAAAATAACAAAATATTTTTTAAAAAGAAAGAAAATCAAAAGGCATATTTTTATTTTAAAAAAGAGGTAGAGAAACGTGAACCAAAACACCAAAGAGAGGAGAGTGGGTTATCAGAAAAATTCTTATAACCAGTATAATAATGATAACTATATAACACCACCACAATTCATGTGTGTGTGTGCCATTACAGTACCATAAACATTTCTTTTTTAATATTTTGTTATTTTTTATGTGTATGAGTGTATTGTCTGCATGTATGTAAGTGCACCCATGTCGTGCAATGCCCAAGGAAGTCAGAAGAGGGTGTTGGATCCCCTGGAACTGGAGTTACCAACAGTTATTAGTTGCCATGGGGTGCTGGAAATCTAATCCAGGTCCTCTGCAACAGCGGCCAGTGCTCTCTCTTTTTGTTTTATGGGTCTTTTTGCTACTCTAACATTCCCCCTCTGAAGAGTAACCCTAAAACCTTTTAGGGATTAGATAAGAGCCCCCAAATACTTTTGCCAATTTTGGCCTTTGAAACAGATTATGTTGCTAAGAGGCCCAAGGACATTTTGACTTTTAGCCAAAAGGTTACTTTTCTTTGGGGCCTTTTTTACCCTAACTGCCTAGCCAATTCCTACCTCCTAATCTTATCACACCATCCTCTGAAGAGGTTGCCCAAATTGCTGATAGGGAATCAGGATGCAGACCACTCTGTACAGCCAGTGCCCTTAACTGCTGAGCCATCTATCCAGCCCCAAGTACCATAGACATTTCTAAGGACAGATGTGGTAGCACACGTTAGTAGCATCAGTACTCAGGAGACTGAGGCAGGAAGATCATGAGCTTGAGGTTAGCCTGGAATGCAGATATACATGTGTGTGTGTGTGTGTGTGTGTGTGTGTGTGTCATGTCATACAATTCATGTGAAATTTTTTCATGTTAATTACTTCACATGATGTATCATAGAGTTGATTATAGGTATGCATTACCTTAGATAATGCGTTCTTTCTATAATTTGCCTTGAAATGTGACAAGAAGACCTGCAAATATCTATCCATCCTCCTTTAGACATTCTTTTATAGTGTCAGTAGACCCAGGCCCTTCCACTTCCTAGTCTAAATTCTGTGTTGCATTATGTGAGCATCTTGTGAAGGCACTTGTGTGGCACCCTAAGTCAGTCCTCCTTCTATCCCATGGTTTTTTTCTTAGGCTCAACATTTATCAAAGTAAAAGTGAAAAAAGACAAGCACATTTTCATAATTCACTTAAGAGACCCGAAGGAAATTGTGAAAGAGCAAAAGGAAGAGGAAAAAGAGGAAGCAGAAGAAAAAGTAGAAGATGACGACAAAGTTAAAGAAAATATTGAAACAAGTAAGCATCGTCATCTTTGCAGGAGTGCAAGCTAGTGAGTAGGTATCGAGCCAAAGCCATTTGATAGAAGGGTACAAGCAGGTGGTACCAGCACTGCCTGAGAAGTGTGGCGGCTCTGAGGGCATTCGTTTTCCCTAACGCTCTGTGCATATCCATCATATACGTAGCTTACCTGTAATTGGCTGCCTGCTTGATTCTACTGCAGCTGGGCAGGAGCTCGTGTTCAAATCTTCCTCTGGAAGAGTCAAGACAGACAAGCTGAACTCATGCAGTAACCTGAGTTTGCAGCCCATTCTGGCCTTATTCTTGGCTTGTACAGACGCTAACTCAGCTCCTCACTATGGAGGTCTACACTTCCTTCAACATTCACTACAAATCAGTTTCCTTCCTATGCTCTGTCACTTCGTTTACTTTGTAGCACCAATTTCTTAAGTTTCTAAAAGAAGGGGACGAGATCATAAATTTGGCCATGAGCATAATTACTTGCTTCGAAATAAGAAGTGCGTGTCGGCGTCCATTCACCAAGCACTGAAATCTCCCGGTGACACCGTTTAGCATCTCAAAGCAGCTCCACCTGGAGAAATTGCTTCTTATCCAAAATGGCATGAGTATGTATGTAAAGGGAGATGTGTTCATTCTTTAATTAATTTTCCTTATTTAGGAGATTTTTATACTCATTGGGACTACAGAGATGGCTAAATTGGTGAAGTGTTAGCTATGTAAGCATGAGGATCTGAGCTCTAATCTCTAGAATCCATGTAAAAACCCAGGCACGGTAACACACACTCATAATCCAGCACTGGGAGGTGGAGACAGCAGAATCCTTACTGCCCATTGGCCAACCAGTCTAACCAATCAGTGAGCTCCAAACTTAGTGAGAGACCCAGTCTCAAAGAATAAAGTAGAGAGCAGCAATAGAGGAAACCAAACAATGCCAGCCCCCAGCCTCCTCATGTACACACAGAAGTGCATGCACAGGTGTGCATACGCGCGCACACACACACACACACACACACACACAAATATACATTTACCATACACACACTATGCATATAAGTTATTTGAAATTATCAACTATAGAAATATTTAAAGAAGCTAATAGTTACATATAATTCTATCACCTCAGTGATAATCACTGTTCATGGTGTATTCTTTCTTGTATCAACATAAGCATTTTCCTACTCAACTAAATATTCTTTGAAAACAAGATTTTTTAAATTATTTAATAATGTTTCACTAATAACCGTATGTGTCACAATTTACTTGATCACTTTTAGATGATTTCTTCCAAAATCAGTATACATATCTTAATAGTGTCCTCTTGCAAAATTAAATAACAGTTTTTAGCTCCACTACACTCTGAAATTATCTTTCTTCATTTCAGCTTTAGTTTTCTCCAGTCTTCAAACTTTAGCCCAGATGTGGCCATGATCCAGTTCTTTATGAACCATGAACTCAAAATAGTTTTTACATTTGTAAAGCATTGCTACATAAAAGAACAAAGGATATGTGATAAAGACTGTGTGTGGCCTATAAAACAAAAAAGTCCTCACTGTCTGACCATTTTCAGAGGCAGGGGGAAGTGTATTAATTTTGACCTGATGAAACTGCAGCAGCTGATCTGGCAGAGGAGGAAGATGGAAGAGTGAATGGCGGCCAAGCCCGCAGCGCTGCTGCCTGCCTCCATTAAAGGCGCCCCCGTTAAAGGTTCCCGTTGTGGCTTCTTTAGTCTTGTTGCCTCCTTCCCTCCAATGGGAACATCCTGCTCATGGTCTGCATCTCTCTGCGCATCCTCAGTGTGGCCTTTTTTGATTCCTGGGGCTTGGACTGTCATCCTTTTCTGTGTATTACTGGTACTTAATGATCACTGTCTTATGACAGTTGGGCTAGAACCTAAGGAGGCTCTAATCTTGGTTTAATGTTTTGATCCCCAATTGTTCCTTGTTTCTTTTTGTGATGCAGTCTGTAAATATTTTTGCCTGCAAAACTCTTGTGTCTTTCACAACGTTCTTCTGTTTAAATGGTTTCTCTGGGTTTCTAGATGGATATATTCACTTGAATTTCCAAGAAACAGAGTTGAATCAGACATGAGCATCCTCCCCTTCAGTCCATTAAATATTGAATCATTTGGTTAGGGAAAGATGTTTTTAAATTCAAGAAAATGATTTTTAAAAAATCTTATGCTGGGCTGGAGACATGGCTCAATGGTTAAGAGCACTGACTGAGCTTGCAGAGGATCAAGGTTTGGTTCCCAGCACCCACATGGAGGCTAATAACCATCTCTAACTCCATTTCCAGGGGATCTGATGCCTTCATCTGGCCTCCACAGGCATTACATGACATAGGTACCATTACATGCACACAGGCAAAACACTCATACACATAAAATAAAAGAGAATTTTTTTAAATCTTAAGCATTTAAATTTTCAAGTATTTATACCGTCCATAATTCATACTTTGTTTAATATGCGTTCTAGTTGGCTTCTTTCAAATTCCCATCATGGCTTTTCATGGCACAATAGTTTATTCCTTTTTCTTTTCTCCACTGTGTGTGTGTGTGTGTGCGCGTGCGTGCATGTTACTGAAGATTGAACCTAGAGCCTCATGCGTTCTAGGTAAGTGACCCCCCCAACTGAGCTATATTTCCAGCCCAAGTTCATTTCTTCTTGACATTGAGTAATATTCCATTGTCGGATGTGCCACAGTTTATTTATCCATTTTCCTACAGAAAGTGCTATGCATATATGTAGGTAAGTTTTTGTCTAGTATATATTTTCAATTAATGTGGGTAAATACCAAAGATGGTTGTTGGGTTCTATGATTAAAAAAAAATATTGTTCTAGTCATCCGCCAAAGTATCTGCAACATTTTTCATTCCCTAGTGCTGAAGGAGAGCTTTGCTGCTCCATATTCTGACCAGCATTTTATGTCAGTGTTTTGAATTTTCTCCAGTCTCATAGGTGCCTAGTAGTTTTGTCAAAACATTGTTTTATGTTGTACTTTCCTGATAACATGTGATGTTGAACATATTTTCATAAGCTTATTTTCTACATGCGTATTGTCTTTAAGTGTCCATAGAGAACTTTGGCATATTTCTTAATCAGCTTGCTTGTTTTCTTACTGTTGAGTTTTAAGAGTCCTTTGTATGTTTTATGCAACAGTCTTTGTCAGATGTGTCTTCTGCAAACATTTCCTCTCAAATTGTGGATTGTATTTTTATTCTTGTGAAACATTATCTTTTTTGCCTATTAACAATTCAAAATTTCCAATCTGGAAATCATCTCTTCATGGGTTACAGTATTTCAGTCCAACACTGTCCTGCCTTCGTTGCATGATAATGGAGCAGATGGTGAATTGGAAATAAAACAGCAGGATGGAAAATTTGCAAATTCTTCACATATACCTCAAGAGCGTGTGTTTCAGCAAATTTTGTTTTTAAATTATGCTTGAAACAACTCTAAAATGTAAGGAATTATAAATGTGGGAATTTAAGAATGTGCTTTAAAATGAGAGGAAACTGAGACTGACCCAGTGGTTTTCATTTTAAAAGTCCTATGAATAATCTGTCAGATCAGTAATCATCAAATAGCTAAGCCATTAACCCGTTTATAGCCTCTCCTCATTTGGACCCAAAGTCCTTCAAATAAGAGTCTCATGTTCCATCTTTGGAATTCTGCCTCCCTGCTGACATCTCTTGAGTCCACGGTAAGAGCCAACCCAATTATTTTTAAATTGATGGTGGTAGACTAGCTAGGGCCCATTCCCAGCTTTCCCACTGAGTTTCGCTTACACTTCTAAATAAAATGGAAATGTCCTTGATTGATTTTATCTTTTAGAAACACCACATATAGAGAATAAAGCTGTCAGCAAGTTTGGATCATTTTCTGCCACTTTAGAAAATGGAATCTGCCTCTCAATAAGTTACTATGGATCAAATGGAATGGCGCCAGGTAAAAGGAAGGGAACAGAAAGGAGAACTTCCCCATGAGCAGAGGTCCCTGCCCATCCTCATCCCATACTTACCAACAAACAAACCTGTCATCATTTAATGCCCTTCATAGTTTTTTTTTCCCCTGCAAGGTGGAGATAAATGGTGTATGGTACTTACATATGTATATATGTGCACATGTGCATTCATGTATGCAATTTTTCATTTTCATCAAATAGCAATGCGTGCTTTGACTTTCAAATTCCATTTATCAGTTGTACAGTCTTTCACATGCACATATAAGACCATATTGCTATACACGCATATACATTCTAATTATCTTTATTAAGTAGCAATTAATAAAAAGCAATTCTGTCAGCTAGTGCCAACAAAAGCAGAATCTTCCAAGGAGTCCTCTTGGATTTCTATACAATAATCTTCTGATGAATCCCATGATTGTAGAACCACTTGGTATGCTTCGGTATATTGGTCTTAAAGGGGCCATTCATTGAACATCTTGAAGGATTTCTCTACTCCAGTCTCAATAAACAAATTCTACAACTGGAAGCTATTTCCTTCCAAACCACAAAATAGTATACCACTTTACCAAGAGTCAATTAAGAAATTGGTGAGTTCCCATTATTTTAAAGGGACGTAACCACAGAGTATTTTTTTAAATATTACAGAATCACTAGGTACTCCCTATGGGTTAGAATGATCTATTTATCTGCCTTATCAGGAAGCTCCTTTGCTGAGATTGCCATGAATCATAATGCCCTTGTCTCTGAAAAGTTTGAAATGTCTCTGGTACTAAGAGTTGTCTGAAAGCAGAAAACTGGATCTGGAGCTAAGAAGGAAGGATGGTCCCACAGTGTCATTTGTAGGGTCAGCACATAAATTATATGTGAAACCTCGGTAGTGAATGAGATCACTAGATCTAACACTTGCACAGCACCTAGTGTATGACATTCTCATGTAGTACTTTGCAAATTTAACTGTCTGGGCCTCATCTCCTGTCAATCTTTCTTAGGTTAAGGTATGACCTGAGCATTTGTTTAAATTCCATGGTTACTGTAGCAGCCAGATTTGGAACCACAATGAACCTTGGGATCTGGAAATATTTATGGGACTGAAAACCATGGAGGAGTCAGTAAAGGAGGAGAAAACTGACCTCAGAGGTCAGAGGTCAAGGGAGAAGCATTTAGGAACCTGGTGGAACTCAGACATCAAGATGAAAGGGGTCTTCTGGAGTTTCCCACACAGTGTCACCTCTCATCAGCTCTCCTTCGGGAATTCAAAAGTCTTTAAAATCTAGAAGGAAATAGATTGTCCACTATAGATTGAAATTTTTTACTTAAATTTTTTTTAATCATTATTTTTAATTACAGCTGTGTGTGACTCTGTGTGTGTGTGTGTGTGTGTGTGTGTAGGTATGTGCACATGAGTGCAAGTTCCCTCACATACCCCTGGAACTGGAGTTACAGGTGGTTGTGAGCTGCCTGACATTGGTGCTGGGAATTCAGGACCTCTGGAAGAGCAGTAGGAGCTCTTAACTGCTGAGCCATTTCTCCAGATCAAAAAAAAAATCTTTATAATTTCAACCACAGATAATCTACTTCTCTATTGGAGTTCCTTGTTTGCACCATTTGTCATGTTCCTACTTAATGTGTCCTTAATTTTATAATTTTAGTGCTAATCTTGAACTATTATGAATCTTTAGAACTTTCAGGAATTTTTCATGAGTTCCATTTCTCAAATAAATGAAGAAAAAGTTTTTAGAGTTTACAATGTAGATAAGAAAACAAGGATATGTGAAATAATGACTTCACTATCAAATTCACTAAAGTATCATTTCAAATTTTCTAACAACACAACTACATTACCCTTGAAACATAACCAACTGGTAAAGCACGCTTCACATGGTAAAAAACATTGCCAACTTGAACAAATTTTGATGTCATTTAATAAGCATATCAAATATGAATATTCAATTTACTCGATTTTTCCCTTTTCCTGAATATAGAGGTTAAGGATCCCTTTTTGGACACAATGTTAAATATCCCTTCAGCACTTACTGCCACAGTGGTTCCTGTTATAGTGTCTGTTCCTCAAGGAAAAGGAAAAGGAAAAATAAAGGGCAAAGAAAAATTCAAAGATTCCCTTAAAGAAGAGGAACATCCAAAAGAAGAGGAGAAGAAAGTGAGTGAGTCTTCCACGCATTTCCAACTCTGTCTACCTCAGTGTTTCCTTTCTTTTTAATGTTTTACTTTTATTTTTATTTATGTGTATGAGTGTACTGCCTGCATGCATGTAAGTGCACCCATGTCCTGCAATGCCCATGGAGGTCAGAAGAGGGCATCAAATCCCCTAGAACTGGAGTTAAGATGGTTGTTAGCTGCCATGTGGGCACTGGGGATCCAACCTAGGTCTTCTGCAAGAGCAGCCACTGCTCATAACCACTGAGCCATCTCTCCAGCCCCAATGTTTCCTTTACTAAAATCATAGTTTATATTGTAATGATATCATAGCACACACATTTTACCATGCAGATCCTCACTATTTCAGCCTGGAATGGGCAACGAAGATTTACCCCAGACCTTGGGCTCCCACTCTCAGGGGTCATTATCATACGCAAGTTCTGTCAGGTCATTCATTCCAAACTCGAAACAACTAGCTCAATTTTTCCCTCCCTGTGATTCTTTGTTATTGGTCTGTAAAATTTTCACAATGTGTTTTTCTTCATTATCTTATTTAGCTCTGTTTAAACAACAATTGAAAATAAAGTCTATAATTAAGTCATGAAAACAGTCTCATTTGTTAGCCTTGGACTCAAATATTTATGTACTAAGAATTCAGAAAGACTAAAGGACTACCCACTGCTGGTTAAAGAGCAGCTCACCTTCAACCACCAAGCTTATCACAGCACATATACACACAGCCTTCATCATAACACATACAACCTTCATCATAACACATACACACAACCTTCATCATAACACATACACACAACCTTCATCATAGCACACATGCGGGGTGGAGGGCAATAGGGTTGCTGGTTTTCCCAACACTGCTTTAGTCTCTTTTAGCTACTATCACAAAATATATTAGACTGAGTGACTCACAAACAACAGAAATTCATTGCTCAAGTTCTATAGGCTAGAAAGTCCAAAACCAGGTCCTGGCAGACTCCATAGCTGGTGAGGGTTTACTCCTACAGATAGCATCCTCTATGGATTGTCACTTCACAGAAAGGGTAAAACTCTTTCCATTCAGCATCTTTTTATAAGGACAAGAATTCCAGTTATAAAGACAAAGTCGTAGTGATTTAATCATTTCCCTCAAAGCCTACTTAATATTATCACTCTGGAAAATGGGTTTCACCATCTGAATTTGAGGGGTGGGGGGACACTAACATGCATAGCGCAATATTACCTATTGTGCTGGATAGTTTTAGTGTCAACTTGACACACCTGGGTTGAGGGACCCTCAATTGGGGAATTGCCTCCATTGGACTGGCCTGTGGCCATGTCTGTGGGGCATTTTCTTGATTATTGAGTGATGTGGGAGAGCTCAGCCCACTGTGGGTGGTGCCACCCCTGGGCAGGTGGGCCTGTGTTGGATAAGAGAGCAAGCTGAGCAGGGGCCAGGGGAGCAAGTCAGTAAGCAGCATTCCTCCATGGCCTGTGCTCCAGCTCCTGCCCCCAGGTTCCTTCCCTGAGTTCCTACCTTGGGCTCCTGGATGAACTGTGACCCAGGATATGTAATCTACAGAAACCTCTTCCTCCCCAAGTTGGTAGTGGTCAAAGTATTTTGTCACAGCAATGAAGAACAAACTAGGACACCTATATACCTACACATCCAAATAGAGGCACCATTCAAGACCTAATTCAGTTCATTTACTCCATGAACCTTTCCACAATTATCTCTCCTAACTTTAATATCTCCTTTTGTGGGAAAAATGTAACAGCATCTGCTACTACTCTTTAATGGTCTCATCTGTTATGTGTCATCCTGTTAATAGAGTATAAACTTCATAGAGGTGAAGACTCTTCCATCTTTTCAGGATCTGTTGCAGGGTGTACTTAATTGTTCACAAGTTACATTGAAAGCACTCAATAAATCTTGGTCAAAATAAATGCTGAGTTTTTTAGAAAATGACAAGGGATTGCTCACATGCAGAATTATTTACAGGAAGTAGAACCAGAAGTTGTTGTCCAAGAGACTGATTATAGTCTGACCTTCCAAAATCTAAATGTGTCTTGCCCCAATGGGCTCCTGCTGACCTTCACTGGACAAGAATCTACAGGTGAGTGTTACCTGAGGTGGGCAGGGAGGCATGGGTCAAAAGTCATGTAGAAAATACCATCATTGAAAATTGTTTCTTTGCCTACCAGTTAATGAACAATAGGCAGCTTTCAAATAAAAAGCATGCCAAATTGGCCATTTTTAAGCACTTGACGTAACAGGACACTGTCTAAATCCTTAACACCTATGCAAAAATATTAATGTTATGAGCTAGGTACTAATAACTCCATTTTATAAATTATAGAAGCTGAGGCTTCAGGAGATGTAGTAACTTCCCCAAAGTCACCCAACTCCTAAAAGGCAAAGCTAAGATGTTTTTCTTGGTCTACTGACAGTCAGCGAGATGCTCAGAACAGCTTTTATATGGCTCTGTCTTCTTACCTCTACAGCGAGCCACAGGTCCAGTGCTTTACTCATTGGCCTGAACAAAGGACAGTGCTGTAAAGGCAGTGAGATGGGTATACTTTAGAAAATGAAGAAACCCTGCCTTCGCTCCATCTATAATGCATCCATCTGATTCTTGGTCTACTGACAGTCAGCGAGATGCTCTGAACAGCTTTTATATAGCTCTGTCTTCTTACCTCTACAGCGAGCCACAGGTCCAGTGCTTTACTCATTGGCCTGAACAAAGGACAGTGCTGTAAAGGCAGTGAGATGGGTATACTTTAGAAAATGAAGAAACCCTGCCTTCGCTCCATCTATAATGCATCCATCTGTAATTGTACATGACTGTTACTACTGTTGGTTCTAAACACAGCTTCTTAACTATTCAGATGAATGAATAGTGCTCTAGCTTATTTTGTTGTGACAAAACACTCTGAGCACTACCAACTTGGGGAGGAAAGGGTGTATTTGTCTTACATCTCCCAGGTCACAGTTCATCCAGGAGCCCAAGGTAGGAACTCAGGGTAAGAACCTGGAGGCAGGAGCTGGAGCACAGGCCATGGAGGAATGCTGCTTACTGACTTGCTCTCCGCTTTCTTATGCAACACAGGCCCACCTGCCCAGGGGTGACACTACCCACAGTGGGCTGGGCCCTCCCACATCACTCAACAATCCAGAAGATGCCCTACAGACATGGCCACAGGCCAATCCTATGGAGACAATTCCCCAATTGAGGCTCCCTCAACCCAGGTGTGTCAAGTTGACACTAAAGCTATCCAGAACAAATAAGCAGAAGAAAACTTTATTAGTTAGCCTGATGAGACAGCTGCATCTGCATTGAATTGGAGAACATTTAAATAGAGAACCAGTGTTGCAGTAAGCGTCTAATGCAGTGAAGAAGGTGGTGAATGGAACTTGAGCCCCAGAGCTGACCCTCACACAGGCTAAGTATATGTCCCATTTACACTACTGTCTCCTCACCATGCTTCCTCACATGGTAAATGTTGGGTGTTATCAATAGATCTTGACTTTTTCACAGCAAAATACCTTCCTTATTTTAATTATGTATATCACGTTTGGAAAGCATAGCTATCAAAGAAAAGGACTATGCTGCTTTAAAAATAATTTAATGTTTTGTTTACTTGCCAGCAAAAAGACTATAAATTAAGCATTGTAGTTGATCTTTTTACCGAGTTTCCCTTCTATTAGGCCTTCTTGTTCACAAGTTCAATAGTGACCATGGGTCCCTGTCCTGCCTCCAAGGATCCTTAGTGGTCCAGATTTTCCATGATGGAACCCACTGTGCGCACAGTGTCTTCTAAAGTCTCAGATGCAATATGCATGCCGAAAAGAATGTTTTTTCAAGTCTAAGGGTATATTTATTTGTATTCTTGAACATGCTATCAAACCCAGTTATATCTTTCTGTTAGATTGATGGATTGACTGATTGATTGACTGATTGATTGATTGACTGACTGACTGACTGACTGACTGATTGATTGATTGATTGATTTACCCTGTTATTTTCATCTTTCTGTCAAGGGTAGAAAATGTGATAAATAACTCTGCCTGGAACATATCTTTTAAAAAATCTTACATATATTATAAATGTCCTAATTCAATTCTGAACATCATTACAACATTAACTATCAAAGTAGCGATACCAAGGTCAGACTTGGATTAGATGAAAGAATGAATATCAGCCTACACTTAAGATTTCCTGGGTGATTATGGAATTCAGTGAGAAACCATTTCTAACCTAAAATATATTTCCCAGTGTTAGTTGTGGTTTTCTTGTTATGCAGGCTTCTGTTGTTTTGTAGAATAAGAGGATAATTCAAATCACACCTCTGCCACTAACTGGCCATATGACCTCAGGGAATACATGACCTCTCCAGGCCTCTGTTTTTTTTTTTAATTTGAAAACTCTGGAAGATGAACATGTCTAAAGGATTGCTGAAATGAACTAAGACTCATGTACAAAGTGTTTATCCTATAGAATTATCTTATAAATATTATGGTTATTACTACTTCCAAGTCTTGAAAGGTACCATGAAGGAACTTCATTACAAAATACTCTCTTACCTGCCCACCATGGTCCTTAAGAGGGCATTATTCCATGTTAATTCCTTTCATTAAAGATGTTGAGCCCCAAGAAACCACATTATAAATTAAGAGGAGATTATTTGGTAACAAAACTGACTATGCCGTATGCCGGGCCTTTTCCCTCTCACTCTCCATCTTTCACCTTCTGCTTCCATTTTACTTTTGTGTTTCCCCTAAATTCCACATTCACTTAGCTTTATGATCCCCAGTTCCATCAATTTACCTCAAATAACATAATTCTGTTTCTATTTGTGGTTGAATAATGCTCCATTGGGTATATATACCACAATTTCATTATTCATTCATCCATCGATGGGCACCTGGATTGATTCCATAACTTTGCTATTGTGAATAGTGCTGCTGTAAACACGAACATGTAGATATCATTACTGTGTATTTAGATTCTTTCAGGTGTAGGCCCAGGAGTGGCATGAGAGAACACAAGAGAGTTCTATTTTTAATATAATTTCTGAGAATTTCGTATGTGAGTA